TGCTGGTCTAGCTAAGCAATAATCCCTCCACTAAGTCTTGGCGGATCCAGACAAGCGAAATGTAGCAAAATCAACCCCATTGGTCTCAACAATACCCATGTTCCGAAGAACCTCGTGACAGCTGTCTAAATAATCCTGGGGATCCTCAGTAGATGCACCGCTGAAAGTAGTAGTGAAGAGCTTGGTAAACCTTTCCAATCTCCACAAGGCATCGGCAGACATGGCTGCACCATCGCCGGTCTGAGCTACCACACCCGGCTGAACCGCTCCAACTGGCTGAGCTGCTGGAGTCTGAAACTAGGGAGCTACCTGCTCCGGAGTGCGAGTAGCAGGAGCCTGGGCTCCTCCTCCAGCCTGAGAGACGGCTGGTGCTACAGGAAGTAAACCTGCCCGGGTGACACTCTCCATGAGGCCCACTAGACGGACCAGAGCATCCTAAAGAACTGGGGTGGAAATAAACTCCTCTTGGACCTGAGCTGGGCACACCGGAACTGCTGGAGCCGGAACCTCGTCGTCAAAGTCAACCTGAGGCTCCGTTACGGGGGCTGCTTCCCTGGGCTGAGCTCTGCCCCTGCCTCGGCCTCTAGCACGGCCTCGGCCTCGCCCTCTGCCCCTCGTAGGAGCTGCTGCTGGGGGCTCGGGCTGCTGATCGGTAGATGAGGAAGCGCGTGTTCTCGCCATCTGCTAAAGAACAGAGTAGAAGTTCAATTAGCATTGAGAGACCAAACCGCACGATAAGAAAGAACAGATGTGAAGTTTTCCTAACTCGGTAGCCTCTGGGGGATAAATACAGACGTCTCCGTACCGATTCCTCAGACTCTACTAAGCTTGTCCGTGAATTGTGAGACCTAAGTAACCTAGAGCTCTTATACCAACTTGTCACGACCCGGATTTTCCCACCCTCGGGAGTCGTGATGGCGCCTACTCATAGAAGCTAGGCAAGCCACGAACTAAAATCTCTAAACACTTTTGTTTTTAATTCCCTTTTAACCAATTAAATTAAAAATTAAATAAACAATTAAATAACAGCGGAATAGGAAATCTAGCGGAAGTCTTAAATAAACTTAAAACCGAATCATCCTGAAGACCAACACATGCCTCTAACCAGAACCTAGTGTCATAACATCCACGGACTACTAAGATTACTACATACAACCGTTTGAAAGAAAGTAACACTGTCTGTCTCGAATACAAGAGATAACAGAACGTAATAAAAGAAAGAGGAGACGCCGGGCCTGCGGACACCTGCAAGGCTACCTCGGTGTCTCGGTGGACTGAAGGCTGGCTCCCGAACTACTGCTGCTGTCCCAATGCTGCCTCGGTATCTGCACAGAGTGCAGAGTGTAGTATCAGCACAACCGACCCCATATGCTGGTAAGTGCCTGGCCTAACCCCGGCGAGGTAGTGACGAGGTTAGGACCAGACTCCAGATAAACCTGTGCAGTTATATATATGTATACATTGGAAAATGAACTAGAACAAATAATTGAAAGCTAGGAAGGGAAAAACATGCTTCGGGGGATAACAGATAAAACAGAATCTCAAGAGAATTATCAATAAACCAAAAAGGAAAACAAAGGCAATTTACACTTTCAGTTCACATCTCGTTGCAGGCGTGCAACCCGATCCTATTTCTCATGTGTTGTGGTAGGCGTACCACCCGATCCCATTTCATCATATCTCGTGGTAGGCGTACCCCCCAATCCCATTTCATCATATCTCGTGGTAGACGTACCACCCGATCCCATTTCATCATATCTCGTGGTAGGCGTACCACCCGATCCCATTTACAAGACAACACAAAATCACAAGGAATCCCGGCAAGGGAACAAAGCAATATATTATCTTCCCGGCAAGGGAGCAACAATATCAATATAAACATCCCGGTAAGGGAGAATCAGCTATAACCAATCCTAACTCAACTCCTACTCAGCTCAATTAGTACCAACACTCGATCATAAATAAAATTCACGAAAATAAACTAAATCCTTGCTCAATATTGAAAATCATCAATTTAAGCATCCGTAGTGACATTTAAGAACACAACATCTATCAATTCAAGACTTACGGTCATGCTCGACACCAACATATAGATACTCGTCACCATGCCTATACGTCGTACTCAACAAGAAGCAATTAGCAAATAGGACACAACTCCTAATCCCTCAAGCCGATGTTAGACCTGACACTTACCTCGATGCCACGAACGTAATTCACGTCTCAATTATCGCTTTACCCCTTGATTTCACCACCTCTTCGCTCGTATCTAGTCACAAGTTACTTAATTACATCAATAAATGCTAAATGTATCAACCCCAATGCATGAAAATGAGTTTTTCTAAAGTTTTACTCAAAAAAAGTCAAAAATTGCCCCCGGGCCCACATGGTCAAGACCCGAGGTTCAAACCAAAACCCGATTACCCATTCCCCCACGAACCCAAATATATAATTTGTTTTGAAATCGGACCTCAAATCGAGGTCCAAATCCCCAATTTTTGAAAAACCTAGGTCCTACCCAAAACCTTCAATTCCCCCATGAAAATCTTTGATTTTAAGTTGAAATCATGTTAAAAGATGTTAAGGAGTGAAGAAAATAAGTTAGAAATCACTTACCAACGTTTTGAAGAAGAAAGGTTGTTTGAAAGATCGCCTCTTATGTCTTGGGGTTTTGAAAAATGAAAAATAACTGAAAATCCCGTCTATATATATATACCTCTCAGGACCCCTGTGCGGACCGCACAAAACGGACTGCGGCCGCACGGCCCTTCCTGACCCTGTGCGGACCGCACAAAGCCGACTGCGGCCGCACAGCCCTCCACCGCGCACCGCATAAAGTCGACCGCGCACCGCACTGACTCGCCCCTCCGCGGCCGCACACGATTTCTCGCGGACCACGCTAGCGGGTTCAGAGAGCTGGAATTGCTCTGAACCTGCAATATCTGAGTTTTTAAGCCTAAGACCTCCCGGAACCTACCCGAAACTCACCTGAGCCCTCGGAACTCCAAACCAAATGTGCATACTAACTCAAAAACATCATATGAACTTATCCGTGCGATTAAATCGCCAAAATAACCTCAATAACCATGAATCAAACCTCAAAATCAAGAACTTTTTCTCAAACTTCATCAAGTATCAAATTTAGCAATTTTAGGTCCGAATCACGTCAAACGACGTCCGTTTTTCACCAAATTTCACGAAAACATCTTAAATCATATATAAGACCTGTACCGGGCGCCGAAACCAAAATACGGGCCCGATACTAACATGTTCGAATCAAATTTCATTTCGAATTTCCTTAAACAATTTCGGAAAATAATTTCTTTCAAAAATTCATTTCTCGGGCTTGGGACCTCGGAATTCGATTCCGGGCATACGCCCAAGTCCCATATTTTCCTATGGACCCTCCGGGACCGTCAAATCACGGGTCCGGGCCCGTTTACCCAAAACGTTGACCGAAGTCAAATTTATTCATTTTACAGTCAAAACTTATCATTTTTCACAGATTTTCACATATAAGCTTTTCGACTATGCGCCCGGACTGCGCACGCAAATCGAGGTGGCTCTAAATGAGGTTTTCAAGACCTCGGAAGCGCAGAAATTAATTTAAAACAAGTGATGACCTTTTTGGGTCATCACACGTTAGTACTAGGATAATCAATTAAATTTCACGCTTAATCAAATAAATTAACACATAACAGAAAGTGTTTTATTTTAATAAGTTTCTATGTGACATGAATTTAAATTACTGAACTAGTATATTCGAAATGAGATGGTTAGGAAAAACAAATTCAGTCGGTCTGACGTGGAATTGTCAGAAAATGCCACGTAACATAAAGAGGCACTACTTGGAATGTCTGACTTATGGTTCAAGTCGGTTTGAGAGCTTCATATTTTCCATGTATATCCTATTAATGGAAGCAAGTACTTGCCCAATTCACTTCAAATAGCTGAACTTTCCAGTTTGCGGTTATGGCTCTTTTGCAGAAAGCGTCAACAGCAATTTCTCGTCCTGTTTTAGTCTCTTCCTTAAGATCAGCTGCTTCAGCTATTCACACCACCGCACCATCTCACACGGCTTTATCCTCAACGCCACCGACAGAAGTCGGGAGTTCACAGCCGCCGGCGACAAAAACGCCGACGTCGCCGGCGCTACCTAAATCTGTAGAATATGTGATTTCTAAGGTAGATGACTTGATGAATTGGGCCCGACGTGGCTCCATATGGCCCATGACTTTTGGCCTGGCTTGCTGTGCTGTTGAGATGATGCATACCGGTGCGTCCAGGTATGATTTGGATCGGTTCGGTATCATATTCCGACCCAGCCCGAGACAGTCCGATTGCATGATTGTTGCTGGTACACTTACCAATAAAATGGCCCCTGCCCTGCGAAGGTAACTACTTCGTCAATCTATAATGGATTGTGTTATGCCGAAAATTAGATTGAGAAAATGTAACAAGGCGTACAGGTGGCAAAATTAACTCAATTTTAAGTAACCCGTCCAAATTGCCAATTTTATGAGGGTGAATTATGATAGGTTTGTTGACTTGACCAACTGGTCAAACTCAACATGATCCATTCAACCATTTGGTCAAAAAATTGTAAGCTCGATATGATCCGTCAAATCATTAGTTAGGACAAAAATATTACTACCTTATAACCAAATTTGGAGATTGAGACTTACAAATTTTTAAAAGAATATAAGCTTACAATTAAGCCAGTATATGCTTCCACATTTAAAAATATATATATACATGTATACGGTCAAAATCGGGCTTGCCTAATTTTGTATGACTGATCGAAATCGGGGTGGTAGATCAAGGCTCGGCCTCGGTTATATCGGACCATGGTACAGATATGGATTGGTAATCTCGTGGATCAAAGGCCGATCAAGATCGAGACCTAAACAGGAAAGAGATCGAAGGAAGCCTGTCAGGTCGGATAATAGAAAGCCGAGATATCTGCGGTCGGGCAAGGATCGTGGCGGAAATCTCGGCACGTATCAAGTCAGGACCGAGCCCATCATGGGATTTACTTCCGTAATTAGAATTATACCATTAATAGGATTCCTTTACTATATAAAAGGGCCCTAATCATCTTGTAAGGCCCTCACATTCACGAATATCAAGGCAATATATTTTCTTTCTCCTGCTCATCAACTTACTGCTCTTTAACTGTTCTTACTTCACTACTCTCGAGGGTTCATCAGCTCGAGGGCATTGTCCAAGCATTGATTTTTTTTACATTTTTGTCAATTTTCGTCACTTATCTTTGAGTTAATCAATTGGTATTGCGTGAAATCGCGTATCCTTAAAATAACATTACAAGTTTAATTGTTACTCGATTTTTTGGGTAAACAGTTTGGCGTCCACCGTGGGGCTAAGGATAATAGTGATTGCCTAGTATTAATCCTCATAACATATATTGTTTTTACGCTTATTCTCGTAAGTGTCTTTGATTTCAGGAGTCAGCATGTCAAACTCTCAAGCAGAGCCCACTCACACAGACACCGGCCTTGGTCTTCATGGAGAAAACGATAATGTAGCCGCCCCAGGGATCGAAGTGCCTCAGGCGGGCCACGAGGGAGTACCAAACGCAGACCCCATCGATGTCAGTTCGCATGTCGCCCTAAATGCAAATCTGGGCGTTGATCCTGAAAGTAGCATACGCAGGGAAGTTCGATCAGGTGGTCGAGGTACACAGGGCGGAGAAGACGGTGGAGTTAGCCTCCAATTGATATTTGAAATGCTATAGGCTCAGCAAGCCGCTATAGCGCAACTACAGAATCAGCATCGAGCACCAAGTGGGATCAAACCAGAGCCTGAACCAGAAACTATTCGTCGAGCCGAACCTATACCAGAGAGATCGAACGCCAATGATTCGGGGACCGACCCTGCTATTATGAAAATGCTCGAGGAGCTCACTAAACGGATTGAATCAGGAGAAAAGAAAATCGAGGCAAATGATAAAAAGGTAGAAACATACAACTCCCAGGTTGACCAAATACCAGGGGCACCATCGATATTGGAAGGACTAGATTCTAAAAAGTTCGTGGGAAGACCCTTCCCCCTAGTGCGGCTCCGAAGCCAATCCCCAAGAAGTTCCGTATGCCCGAGATCCCAAGTATAACGGGACGGCCGATCCGAACGAACATGTCACCTCGTATACGTGTGCCATCAAAGGAAACGACTTGGAAGATAACGAAATTGAAGCCGTACTACTGAAGAAATTCGGGGAGACTCTATCGAAGGGTGCCTTAATATGGTATCGTAACTTACCCCCTAATTCTATTGATTCGTTTGCTATGCTTGGAGATTCTTTTGTAAAGTCAACGCCGGAGCCATTAAAATTGCAACGAGGAAGTCAAACCTTTTCAAGGTAAGGCAGAAAGATAACGAGATGCTCAGGGAATTCGTATATCGATTTCAAGCGGAGAGAATGGATTTGCCTCCGGTTACCGATGGCTGGGCTATTCAAGCTTTCACTCAAGGTCTCAACACTCGGATTTTCATAGCTTCATAGCAGTTGAAGCAAAGTTTAATCGAGTACCCGGCTGTCACTTGGGCCGACGTACATAATCGGTATCAGTCGAAGATTAGGTCGAGGATGATCAACTTGGGACTCATTCGGGGTCCGTTTATCCTAGCAGGCCCATGGATAGGATCAAAAGGGACATCGATCGAGAGCCGAGGTTGAATAGAGATAGATATCTATCGTACAACGGAGACCATAGAGGCAGCGGGTCTGGGCAAAGCTTTGCACGAAATGAGAGGAGAAATGATCGAGGTCAAAATTCACGGGGGCTTGATGCTGAGGAAGATCACTTTAAATATCCAAAATCCGAATAAAGGTACGACCCCATTCCAATCCTTTCTATTGTTTCAACCTACACTTGCAGGCTATCGACAAGGATCGGCACGAAGCTTTGGATCTTAAAGCACGCGTTGCACTCTTTTTCCCTTAGACCGATTTTTGTCCCAAATGGGTTTTTCTGGCAAGGTTTTTAACGAGGCAACCATTGTTCGTGCTAACTTAGAGCGATTTAATAGTATCCGAGGTTCCCTATAATAAGCCTCGAGTACTGGGGGGCGTTACCCTCGAATGTCTACTTTGTTGCAAGGAAATCACTTCGTGACAGCGGGGTCTCGATAGGAAAATGTTGTAAGGGTCAAACGGTCAAATGAACCATGCCCGTATAGGTTACTCGAGCCCTAACGTCAAACATGCGTGCATGTATAATCATCTATTGAGAGAAGTATTTTTCCTTGCCGATATCTCATGCCTTTGAAAAAATTTCTTATTTTATACGCTTGATCTATTGTGTAAACAGGCTTAAGGGCCGATCATGACGGAAGTTCGAACAACTAACCCCACGCTTGAGGACTGCCATTCGAAAACATAACAAATCGAACTACTAAAATTTCGAAACCATAAGACCTTAAAGGCGACCCTCGATTTTACAGGCCATGGCCACCCCGCTCGGGGACTGACACTTCAGGCAAGCTCGAAGTGAAATGGAAAATAAGCCAAAAGGGTAAGTTCCGAACTAAATAGGCGACGATCAAATTAACGCGGAACAGAGACGTCCGAAATCTGTAACAAATACAAAAGCCCAAGGGCTATCTTAATCCGAGTTCGAGCAAACTCTCACTCGGGGACTATCTATAAAGCCTAAGGGCTAACTTTACTTCGAGGTCGAGCAAATCCTCACTCGACTATAAAGCCTACGAGCCAACTTCACTTCGAGTTCGAGCAAGTCCTCACTCGATCATAAAAGCCCAAGGGCTATCTTAACCCGAGTTTGAGCAAACTCTCACTCGGGGACTATCTATAAAGCCTAAGGGCTAACTTCACTTCGAGTTCGAGCGAATCCTCACTCGATCGTAAGAGCCCAAGGGTTGTCTTAACCCGAGTTCGAGTAAACTCTCACTCGGGGACTATCTATAAAGCCTAAAGGCTAACTTTACTTCGAGTTCAAGCAAATCCTCACTCGAGTGTTAAGCCTAAGAGCTACGTACTCGAGCTCTAGTTCAAATGGTCATTCGGGGTCCATCGATCCCAGTCGAAAGAACAAAGCCCGAGTATGGATTTCTTCAAAGGTCTCGACACTTGGTGCACTCCTTAGCCCGAACCTGAGCGGTTTCCTTATGCGGAAAAGTTATAGGTGTTTTGGCCATTTTGTTTTCGTAAGAAAGGAAGAATGAAGATTGGAATATTTGATATTTCGAGAAGAACAAGCAAAGAAGCTCAAAGATTCAATTTGTTTCTTATCATTACACTCAAAAAAACGAGGGGACTATCTGTATACGGTCAAAATCGGGCTTGCCTAATTTTGTATGACTGAACGAAATCGGGGTGGTAGATCAAGGCTCGGCCTCAGTTATATCGAACCATGGTACAAATATGGATTGGTAATCTCGTGGATCAACGGCCGATCAAGATCGAGACCGAATCAGGAAAAATCGAATGAGATCGAAGGAAGCCTGCCAGGTCGGATAACAGAAAGCCGAGACAACCGCCATCGGGCAAGGATCGCGGCGGAAATCTCGGCACGTATCAAGTCAGGACCGGTTATTTAGCCCATCATGGGATTTACTTTCGTAATTAGAATTATACCATAAATAGGATTCCTCTACTATATAAAAAGGGCCCTAATCATCTTGTAAGGCCCTCACATTCACGAATATCAAGGCAATATATTATTTCTTTCTTCTGCTCATCAACTTACTGTTCTTTAACTGTTCTTACTTCACTACTCTCGAGGGTTCATCAGCTCGAGGGCATTGTCCAAGCATTGGTTTGTTTTACATTCTTGTCAATTCTCATCACTTATCTTTGAGTTAATCAATTGGTATTAGGTGAAATCACGTATCCTTAAAATCACATTACAACTTTAATTGTTACTCGATTTTTTGGGTAAACAATATAGAATAAAAAGGAGAAGTTGAGTTAGGTTGGGTCTTGATATGTTTGGATTAAACTCATTTTCATTCAACTAAGTGAGTTGGGTCGCGACTTATTTATTGATTTGATCTATTTTTGACTCGCATAAGTTAGATAATTTGGCGCAACGCGTTACTTTGCCACATCCAACAGTGTTAAAATTATAATAAACTTGTTTCCATTAGTTCACATTTATATTAAATATGTTTAGATTAGTTCATATTAGTATGAGATGTATGAACAAGTGTAGACTAATGTGAACTTCATTATATGTATGAACTAGTGTAGACTAATGTGAATTTAGTTAGTGTGTTTACATGAAGTTTAGGCTAGATACATGTAGGAGTTCTACTATAAATACCCATGTATGCTAGCCATTTGGAACAAGTCAAGTTGAATGAAAAATATCATTTCTTCTCCATTCTTAAAGTGAGTTGTGAGTGTTTGAGTGTTTTGTTGTCTTGCTCTCCCAAATTATTTTTTTCCAACATTTGGTATCAGAGCCGGTGTGGTTGAAGACAACAAACTTGGAGAAAAGATGACGAATTCTAACGG